TCGAAAACTTACAGAGCTATTTATTTTGGGGATTTATTTACCGCTTCAGATCACTCCCCCCCCCTAGTGGGGCAGTGACGACCCTAAGACGTGGCCAGCCAGAAGTTTAAACCCAACGAGTTTGTCGTGGGTAAACACTCTTCTGATAGCTTACTAAGTGTAGCAGCGTCTGGTCGTCTTTCCTTACTATATGGGACCGAGGTACAACATAGTAAAAAAAGAAAGTTACAACGAAAATTTCGACTCCTCGTAAACTGCATCGTTCTTCTCCAGCCGTCCTGGAAAAGAAAAAAGAAAGTGTAAGTGCATGTCGAAATACACTCGTATGTGCGTAAAAACACAGTGTCGGCGAAAAAAATGGAAAATATACTCAACCACACGTAATAGCGTTAAAAAAATGTTTTTTTATGTTTTGTGTTTTTTTAAATAAAAATATAAATATGTAAGCATATTAAAATTGTCTTTTTTAAAAAAAAATTATGTATCGTAAAAAGAAAGATCGAGATAATATAAAATGTCGAGTAGTGCCTTACGTGCAGTAGTCGTTTAAATGTTCTGGAAATCTTACTCTTCTTCTTTCAGAACGCGTCGTTTTACGTTTATTTTCAGATACTGTCGAAGTATAATCGCTAGTGTTGGTTGTCGGTTGAGGAATTATGAGTGTCGTTCGATTGTACCGAAGGAAGATTGACGTAGATAGGATTTCCTTCTAAATACGCTGCTTTGATGCGATCGATGCTGATGCTATCGTTGGTTCCGTTCTTATCGATTATATAGTACTTAGGTTTGCGTTAAACAACTTTGAAAGGTCCTTCGTATGCTGATTCGAAAAGTCGTCGATGCGAGTCTCGACGAACGAAAACGTGTGTACTATATCGTAACTCAGGTTGAACGAAAACATCAGTTGATTGAGGTCGAGTGGAAGCAGGTTTAACTGAACGCATTGCGTTTGTAAGCCTGTTCGTGTAGGAGGTTAGATCCATGTTCATTGAAGAGGATGAAGGATCAACGAATTCTCCTGGAAGTCGAAGTGTCGTTCCATAAACGAGTTGAGCCTCAGTGTATCCAATGTCAGCTTTCACTGCATTGCGGATACCTAGTAAGACAAGTGGAAGAGCGTCGGTCCACTGTGAAACGTTTGCAGCTGATAGTGAAGCTTTTAGTTGTCGGTGAAAACGTTCTACCAACCAGTTTGCTTGTGGATGGTAGGCGGTCGTTCGGAAGCGAATACTTCCTAATAGTGTGGTCAGACGACGGAAAAGTTCAGATTCAAACTGACGTCCGCGGTCTGTAGTGATGGTTGAAGAGCAACCGAAGTTTGCTACCCATCGTTCGACGAAGGTGCGGGCCACTGTTTCAGCAGTGATGTCCTTGATAGGTACTGCTTCTGGCCATCGAGTGAAACGGTCTACGCAGGTTAAGAGGTAAGAGTATCCATTTGAATCTGGTAAAGGTCCTACCAAATCCAGATGAACATGGTCGAAACGAGCATCGGAAGTTTTAAACGAAATGTAGTCCAGTTGTCGAGACTCACGGGGAGAGTACTTGTCAGAAGGAGAGCTTAACAAGAAAGTGAGCGGTTTATGGTCTGTGAAAAGAGTGAATTCACGACCTTCGATGTAGTGTTGGAAATGCCGTACAGCACAATACATAGCTAGGAGTTCCCTACCGAATGTGCTGTACCTCGATTCGGTGTCTAGCAACCTTCTAGAGAAAAATGCCAAGGGTTGCCAGGAGTTGTTAACCCATTGTTGTAAGACTCCTCCGATTGCCGAGTCGGATGCGTCTACTGCGATGTTAATGGGTGCTCGGGTGTCCTGATGTGCGAGCATTGTTGCTTTAGCAATCAGTTCCTTAACTGTGGAGAATGCTTTTCGTGCGGTGTCGTCTAAATTAATGGATTTCGCATTTCCACGAAGTTGGTCGATCAGAGGTTTCATAAGTAATGCGCATTTCGGTATGAAACGTCTATAGAAACTTGCCAGGCCGTTAAACGTGCGTAATTGCTTGACGGTGGTCGGTTCTGGGTAATCCAGAATGGCCGCCACTTTGGTCCTAAGGGGTCGGATACCTTGAGCATCGATAGTGTGTCCTAGGAAGCCTAACGAGTGGGTTCCAAATTGGCATTTCTGAACGTTTACAGTTATGCCATGTTTTTGTAATCGTTCGAAAACAAGATCCAGATGCTTGAGATGTGTTTCTCTGTCCGGACTTGCGATTAGACAGTCGTCAACATACGCGTGTACGAAGTTGAGACCTCGAAAAACGTCGTCTATGAATCTTTGGAATGTTTGAGCAGCGTTTCTTAGACCGAAAGGCATTCGCAAAAATTCATAGAGTCCGAAGGGAGTTATGATAGCCGTTTTCGGTATGTCGTCAGTAGCCATAGGGATTTGGTTATACGCTTTAACCAAGTCAATTTTCGAAAAGACAGTTGTACCTTTCAAGGTAGCTGTCAAATCGTGAATGTGAGGCAACGGGTAACGATCGGGAATGGTTTTCGCGTTCAATTGCCGATAGTCACCAGTTGGACGCCAATCGTTGCTGTCCTTTTTAGGGACCATATGCAACGGAGATGCATATGGGCTACTTGACGGTCGTATGATTCCTAAGTCCATCATGTGATCGAATTCGTTTTTCGCTAACCTTAGCTTTTCAGGAGCTAGTCGTCGTGCTTTAGAGAATACAGGTGGTCCTGTAGTCGTGATGTGATGTGTAACATTGCTGGTTACACACGGTAGTTTCGGTTGAGTTTGTTGTATCCCAGGGTACTTATCGAGTAGTGGTTGATAGAGTGGGTCTATCATATGTTTAACTGTGACTGGGGATACTCTATAACCAGTAAAAGAAGTTACGCAAACGGACAAATTAGTGTTTCTGTCTACTAGCCTCCGTTTGCGAGTGTCGATGATCAGATTGTGGTGTTGTAGAAGGTCCATACCAATGATTGGCATAGAAACATCTGCAACAACGAAAATCCAGTGAATGGGTTTGCGTAAACCCACGTTAAGGTAAACGTACATTTTGCTATACGTAGAGATCGGTTTTCCGTTTGCCGCCTGTAAGTTTAGGGTCGATTCGTGTAGTCGGTCGTTAGGATTTGCTGGGAGAACGCTAACTTCTGCGCCAGTGTCGACGAGGTAGCGAACTCTCGTTGTCACATCTGTGACGTATAACAAACGGCTATGTTCGCCGGCTACGGTTGCCGTTAACGCGTGCCGGCTTGGAAGTTTCCCGAATTGCTTTTCGAATCAGTCGGTTTCGTGTTGGGAAAATTGCAGGGTTTTCTGCAATTTCTGGAAAGCTTTCCATACTGGTTATGATACCAGCACCAGTCGAGGTTATCTGTCTCTCGTGGTCTAGAGACAGATCGCTTACGTGACATGCTTCTACGTGGTGTGCGCAATCTCTTACGGTCGGTACGAAGACTAAGATAACGCGTGAGTGTGTGACATAAGTCGTTTATATCATTCTGAGTCGTTTGAGGTTTTTCTTTGACTGAAAATACCTCGGTAGTAGATTTCGTAATTTCTAAAATGCGGTCGGCAGATGCAGCTAGCTCGTCTAAGGCGTTGTTCTGGAACGAGACCAGAACTGCTTGCACCTGTTGGGGAAGTTTTGACAAGAAGAGTTGTTTGAATAGACCTTCGTCGAAAGTTCTTGGGCCTATTACCTCTCTCATCCGTTGCAACATGTCCGTCGCAGAACCGTGTTGCAGGTCGATATTGTTGAAGAGTTGATCTAACCTTTGTCGATCGGTTAGGTCTCCTCGTTTAAGAATCGAGCGTCTTAAGATTTCGTAAGGATCGGAAACATCACTAGTAAACATACTAGGTGTTACGTACCTGTTGAATTCGCGCGGTAGTGCCTTGACTACTGCGAGGAATTGTGCACGTGTGTCGATCACGCCGTGCTCGGAGAAGTCGGCTTCTGCGTAGCAAAACCAGGCCTCAATGTTGTCGGGCCAGAAAGGCATCAGTTGAAACGAAGGTGGGGACAAGGTCTTAAGCTTGAGTACTTTAGGTGTCTGTTCAGTCATGATGAAGTATGAAGTACGATAATGAACGAGGGGAATATATATATATATATATCCGAGAAAAATCACGAAGAAAATCACAATGCTTAAAAAAAATAAAAAAAATAAGGCAATGATATATAAAAATCCCAAAAAGGAACAGACTCACAGTTGCAATTAGGTGTACCAGATCACGTCGGGCTCACCAATGATGATGTCACAAGTATTCAGTGTTTGACAACGCTTCTACCAGTAACACCTAATATATTTCGTTCCCACTCAGAGAAATCAAAAGACAGAGTCGAGGAGATCGGAAGAGTATATTTGGCGATGACCAATATATCGGAATTCTCTGATCTAATCTGGTTAGCGATTGCGGTTGATGTTGAGCACGGCGTTACCACACGTGATCTGGTGCGGATGCCTGACCGAGCGCCTTCAGCTAGATGAGTCCACTAAAACATATGGTCAGCATCCAATGTCGAAAACTTACAGAGCTATTTATTTTGGGGATTTATTTACCGCTACAAGCGTGTCCAGAGTGTGGGAACGAAATTAGTGGAGGGTCTTTCTAAACTCTCTTACGATGAGCGTTTAAAATGCCTAAACCTTTTCCCCTTGTCGTATTGTAGGGCGCAAGGTGACACTATACTGGCATTTCGCATCTTTAATTATGATTTTGGTGTTAATATGTCTTATATTTTCGCTCCCTCCAGCACTAATAATCTCCGAGGTCATAGCAAGAAGGTTCATAAACCGCGATCTAATAAACTTAAATTGGGGTCCTGTTTTTCTCATCGAAACGCCTTACCCGAACAAGTGGTATCAGCCCCATCAGTGAATGTTTTCAAGGAGAAGCCAGACCTTCGCTGGAAACTAATCTGTCAGGATTAACACAGGTTCACCAACCTACTGTCCTTATTACTGAAGACTGATGACTGAAACATTTGTGTTTCGCGGGTTGTATGCGGTAAGCGTTACTCTGATGAGTAGTCCTACAGATGAGATCATACAACTAACTAATGACGACGCTACATCCAGTAAAGCTCATGCCATTTCTCGTGGATACTGGAAAGACAAGTATATCAGGTATTTTTGTTCCTCTCCGTCACACAAAACTCCGGAGATTAATCGTGGCTATTTTATAAGAACAACTGCATTCAGAGCGATTGCCATATCATTTATAAAGGTTCCTTACTTTTGAAAAGTACAAATTACCTTATCCAGTCCACAGGTGGAGCCTGCCAAATTGTAAACCTTGGTGCAGGCTCAGATACATTGTACTTCGCTCTAAAAGATGCTCAGGAGACCCCAGAGCTATACGTCGAAGTAGACTTGGCATCTAACATTCAACAAAAAGCTATGACAATACAACGAAGAAGGCTGCTTGAATCAACAAGTAACTCTCACTTTTTATTCTTGTATGTAAAGTAAATTGGTCCTTTACGGACAGTTAATATTTTATAATTCAATGTACCTTTATCTGCTTATTAAACAATATTCTGGCTATTTTTTCCCGGACTTACTAAGCCCTACAAACTCACATTGTTAGTGGCGCCACACTGAATTATGTATGGATTTTATTTTTACAAAGTGTGATTCTCGACGTTCACCATTGTCATCAGATTCAGATTCAGATTTGTGTAGTAAGGACAGAAGGCCTACGGCCTATGTTATTCCTTTTCTAGTATGCTTCTGTGAGTGTCCAGTCTTCTCTTGAAAGAGTCAATTGAAGGTGCGGATACCACTGCTTCAGGCAGCAGGTTCCAAGTATTGATGACTCGGTGTGAAAACCTGTATACCAGAGGTATTTTGTTCGTTCTTGGCTTTTCTACTCGCCTACTATGTCCTCTGAGGTGTCCCGATCTAGTGGGAAGAAAGAGAGAGAATAAGTTAGGTCCGAAATCATTTCTCAGTATTCTGTACATCAATATTAGATCTCCCCTTAGTCTGCGATAGGACAGAGTAAAGAGGTTCAGTTTTTCAAGCCGCTCTTCATATGATAAACCCCGGAGTTCCGGAATCGCACGCGTAGCTGCCCTCTGTACCTTTTCTAGTATGTCTGAGTCACCTTTTAAACAGGGGCTTGCAGCCTGAACACAGTTCTCTAACTTAGTTCTCACTAAGGATGTGTATAATGTGGTGAACATGGTAGTATCAAGCTTAGTGAATGTCCTTTTTAAAGCCCAGAGGGTTCGAAACCCCTTAACTGCGACCTCCCGGCAATGGGCCGTCGTCTTAAGATCATTGCTCACGGTCACCCCTAGGTCCTTATGAGACCGGACTACGGGTAATGACACATCTCCTATGTTGTACGTATTAACCTTTGAATCCCCCAAGTGCATGTAGACACACTTTTCCGAGTTGATAGGCATTAGCCACTCTTTAGACCAGTTTATCACATTATTTAAGTCTGCCTGAAGAGCACATGCGTCTGTGTCTCAAGTTATTACTCGCCAAATTTTTACATCGTCAGCGTATAATAACATTGGAGACTGTACTATACTTGTAAGATCATTAACGTACATTATAAAAAGTAAAGGACCTAGGACGGAACCTTGGGGTACTCCACTAAGTACTGGTCTCCAGATGGAGCACTTGGAATTTATTCTTACTTTTTGCCTACGACCTACTAGGAAATCTTTAATCCATTTTAAAAGAGGTCCGGCAATACCAAGGTTTGCCAACTTCAATAGCAGTCTATTAGTTGGCACCTTGTCAAAAGCCTTACTGAAGTCTATGTAGACAACATCCACTGAGTTTCCGTTGTCTAGCGCATTAATCCAGAGCTCCCTAGCTATAAGGAGGTTCGTTGTACAGGATAGACCCTTTCTAAAACCATGCTGTGCCATGTTCAGCAAGTTATTGGTTTCCATAAATGCTGTTATGGTCCGTTTGATTATCCTTTCCAGTATTTTAATAACAACACTGGTGAGGCTTACGGGTCTGTAATTTGATGGAACTTGTCGTAGACCAGTTTTATGTATGGGAGTGACGATTGCGTCCTTCCAGTCCATAGGTAACACACCTTGGTCAAGTGACATTTTGAATATCACAGTCAGTGGGGCTGCGATATATTCGGCAATATGTCTCAAGATTTTAGGGTGTAGTTCATCTGGTCCTGTTGACTTCTCCATGTTTAGGGTGCTAAGAGCCTTAAGCACATCGTTTTGGTCGAAGTCCACGGTGAGCAGCTGGTTTGTTGACTCTGTAATTGGGTCTGGTTCTTTCTCTAGAGGAGGTTCCTGAGTGAAAACTGCCCCAAAGTAGTCAGCCATAATCTCAGCTTTTTCATGATCTTCCTCTATCATTTCAGATTCACTTCCTACTTTAATTAGGTTGGAAATCCAGTGATGAGTCCTTGTTCTGTAGTTTATGTACGAGAATATCCTCTTGGGCTGCTTGAGAGCAGATTCTGCCAGCTGCATTTCGTATTTTCTTTGCGCTTCCCGAATTTTCGTTATACACACGTTTCTTATCGATCTGTAGTGTTCCATCGTATCTGCTGTGCCAAGGCGGATGGCAACATCCCAGCATTTCTTCTTTTGTCTTAGTAAGCGTCGAATATCCCGCCCTAACCAGGGATGTCCGTGCTTCTTTTTCTTTGGGACAGTCCAGGGTATATATGGTTGAGTTACCCGATTGTATAACTGTCTGAATAGAGTCCATGCCTCTTGTACTGATGCCTTTGAGTCAATTTCCCAGTTCTCAGCCGATGCTGCGGAGTCAATTGCCTGCATATCTGCCTTCCATATGTTAGGACGGGCTGGCGCAATTGTTTGAGAAGCAATTTCAGCCATGAATTTGAATAAGATGACTGCATGGTCACTTCTCCCAAGTGGTGGGAGAAAAGCCGTTTGACCAACGTCCTCACCGTGTGTGAAGACTAAATCTAAAAGAGAGGAAGAGTTTCTTAAGTCGTATCTTGTGGGATCTCTAATGTGTTGGAATAATGCTAGTCCAATCGAGGTTTCTAACAGTTTGGAGTCGAACGACGATATAGATGACTCTACTTCTAAGTTAACCCAGTTTATATATGGTGCATTAAAGTCGCCTACTACAAGGCTTTTACCGTTGTTACACCAGGACTTAAGTTTACTGAGGAGAAAATCGTCTGCTACACATTCTGGACTGCGATAAACTACAACTAATTCAATATCTTGCCTTCGGCATTTCAACTTACATCTCACCAGTTCACATGTCCCTGAAACATGTGCTACTGTCTCAGCTAATCTTATGGTTAGGGTACTTTTCGTGTACACAATAACCCCACCTCCCCTTCGGTTTAATCTATCAGCCCTACTGGTTATGAAACCAGTCAATTGGATTTCACTATCTAATACTTCTGACGTTAACCAAGTTTCCGAGACAGCGATAACGTCCGGTTTTTCTTTATCCACCACTGACTTCAGCTCCGCCATTTTATTTAGTAGGCTGCGAGCATTTGTGTAGCACACTTTTAAGTCTGTGGAGAGCTTTCCCTTGCCACCCAGAGTGGCTTGGGGATCGTTTTGCTCCGAACTTTTACAATCTGAAAACCCTTAAGAACGAGGTTTCTTTCACCGTTTCGGCGACGCTCGTTTATTTCCGTTTATGTGAGCAGCTAATAAGACTAGTATGTATGTCCTTCATTCTTTATAGTATCTTCATGTCTAATTGTCAGAAATCCGATATTGCTGAGTATCGGTAAATGACACCGTATAGGTTCGCATGAAAATGGTTCAAAAGAATCTTGAAACCTTAAACGACAAACAGAAACAGTGAAGCGAGACATCAATTCAATCCAACTTACATTAAAGCCATTTTACACCATAAAGAAGATATTTGAAGTGAAGGAATCCAGTTAAGTCAAAATAAGGATACTAACCATGTTAATTTTTTTTTAAATCAGGTAAACCATGCAAAATCAGGACAATTGGTTTGAGGTATTGTGACATTCAAAAGTAAGACAAGGGCACTAATCAGATGTATATATTGTTGATTTCAAGCCCTGTCACATAAGTACTCCATGCACTGATCTGGAATTCCGTGCCGACCCCGAAGCATTGGCATATGCTTTTACTTAGTGGTCTGCCCTCAATATTAGTATTGCCAATTGTGTTATAAACATGGGTACGGTTATTTTATCGGGCGGAAGTTACCACTCAGTGATATTTGTTTATTTGTTATTTTACCACATCCCTACATATCGTTTCAGATAAACATACCAGCTTATCCTCCCTCCCGCACACTTTTTAGTATTACATGATCGCATTCTAAACTTAAGCTTCTGTTTATCATATCCATTTCTAATATATGTTCTGCTAATATTGAATGACTGACCGTTCAACGTTTTCATTTTACCATATTCTATTATATGTATGCTATATATCTAACGAAAAGCTTTATCCTTTGAACCCAGATGCTTCACGACTTAAAGACGATAATTTAAACCTTACAGTAAATCAAAAGACTTCTGTTGTCGACACACTACATGATAATTTGCACTACGTTTTTGAAACGGGACGGTTTCACTTACTGAGTTTCGATTTACGAAGATCTGTTCAAGATCTTCTAGATGTTTTATGTTCAACAGTTAATGGGGCTGGTTGTTCCAAAAGTTGCCCAACTCTCTTCCTTGCTGAATGCGTACTTGTTTATATGTCTCCAGAGGCAAGCTGTCAGTTAATAAAGGGTCTTTCGGTAAACTTCCCACGTGCTTCATTCCTGCATTATGAACAGGTAGGCATACTTTTTTAAAACTTCTTTTTACGGTTAATGATCAATTATAAATACATTTAGATGTATGTATGACTTCGTGATATTTCACGCAAAACTTACTAAAAAATATAATTATATTTATAAAGTGGATAATGATGACACCTCTTTTTCTAATGATAAACCTAGTTTAAACATCAAATTCTGAATTATATCAAAACTTTATCATTATTTCCAGCAACAAGCATTATGTACCGTGACATATTTGTATTCCTTGGTAACGAATGTTATTTATAACATTCACGGGACCATATCAAATTTTCTGTTCGTTTGTAGATATAACGCGAACAAAACCATGTCAAGTTTCATCTGTCATTCACGTCTAATATATGAAATATATCAATACTATTCAGTTATTTAAACTTAAATTCGTGGTATAGATCAGAAATATTTTAATAAATATAATTATGACAAGCTAGCGAGACTCCATTTTCTTAACAAATGCTAAAGTTACTATTCTCTAACTCTTCAGTTACAGAACATTCCGTATATACGATTTTTTGTCTTCAGCTCCAAATGGCTTATTAAATGTTTTGAGACACTCGAAAACTTTTTGAATAGCTTCCTTTGAGTATAATGGCATTTTCATACCTTGAATCTGTGAGCAAATGTTCTTTAACTACTTCAATTCCAGGCTCTTCGTTATCTCGTTATTTGAAATGAGGAGGTCTGTTAAACTCTAACTGTCATTATTACACTTTTATTTTCGTCCGTAGACATTATCATACATTCATAAAATTCATTGTCTTCAAAGGGATATTTTTCTGTCCGTATGCATGCGTTTCAAATAAACTGAGCTTTGACACAAATTCGAAGTTTAAACACTTAATTAGAAAGCAAACAGCTTTTATTAAGTGTGTCCATCTACAAATTGCGGACGAATGGATAATTTACGGACCAAAATAGTTAGATAACCCTAACTACTTTTTTAATTTGGTTTAACCGTTTTTTCTCAAGAATATGTTCATGGCTTTATTCTTATGGTAACCCACAGTATTGAACATCAATTCCTTTAATGTTGTTAGCGGAACATAGACTAGATTAAAGCATGCTCAATGCATGATTGTTTTGGTGCACGCTGATTGGCTGATTCTTATCCAATCAGCACTAGTCGATAGTCGGAGAATATTCTGGAATCTTCTTATGTAAAAACTACAAATATACCGACGTTTTCCCCTATTGTGCTTCCTACTGGCTTCTGATTTGCTATTTGGAATATAATCTTTTTCCTGTTCAACCGTGTTCTGATTTGGGGACTTGTCGAGTGAATCGGTGTCCGAGAATACTAAGCAATAGGAATAGCTGGGTCATTAACCGTAAGAAGAAAAAGAGATTTATAACAAATGTTCACAGAAGTTTTTTAATCATTTCGACTCTTTATTTTCATCTTAACTTCCTGTGCTAGTGCGAGGTACGACGATGCAGGACGATGGATGTTTATTCCCAATTTTATATTGTTCATAGCTAAATGACTAATTTCATTTAATCCATTTCTAGTTCAGAGTGATTTTTATATCTTCCTGGTTCATAAAATTTGACAATTGATATTTCAATTTCAGACTGACTGGTGTCATCACAGCAAACTTCAAATGGAAGTAAATCACATGAATTCGAAAGTAGCTTTACTTCGTCGTGTTTTTATAGCCTTAAATTAAACGAGATTTTTTTGACTATCATTAGGCTAATAGATGAGTTACTGTTATCACCAAATGGCAGCTATTTTTCTGTCCTATGATTGGTCTTTTACATGTTATCTCTTCTCCCGATTAATATACAAACTGGACTTACACTATGATCGCTACTTAGTGACTATCACTCCTTTGCTAATGATCTATTACACTAACTCTCTTTATAAAAACTGTGCTTATGTAACTGTTATAAACATTCGATCTCTCATCAAAATTTCGCCAATCCTCTCGTATTATGTTACCGTATGTATGAGTACATACTCAATTTATTTATTTCGTAATTAGTACCTCTGAATATTAACTATTTTATTCCCCTTTTGATTATTTCGTCAATCATTCTCAATTACCTTCATAAACACTAATGAATTTATAACACTATCTCATACGCCACTAACTGATCAGTATCGACTTTATTATTACAATTATCATTGTTATCATTGTCATTATTATCGTCATGATGCAAAACTAGTTGAAAAAGGAGTGTTTATTCGCTGTATTCGAATCCTGTGTTATCTACTGTGCAGGTTAATATGAGCGATTCATTTGGTTCTATTATGATCAAAAATTTTCGTGCTCGTTCCTGTGAGCTTCCTGGTCTTAATGCATGTCATTCACTGGCTACTCAAGAAGAACGGTGAGATTTCTATTTTAATTTCCACAAATGTAAATGTGACTGGTGATTACTGTTGGTGATGCTAGATCCTTATAAATCACTTGGTAAACGTCCTATTTTTGGAATTTTATTTAAGAAATTTGGATTTCTTGGTTTCAATCCAAAAGCGCCCATTTTTACCTTCGGATTGTATCTCTCACTTGCAAGTACCCTAAATGTCATTGGTTCGTGCTTCTGGTTGCTTTTAGGATACACCTTTCCCTAAACCTGGTCTTCTCCCTCTGGTTACCAGGGCTGAGACGTATTGAAGTAGTTTAGCTTGTCTTGTTGCTGATCCTTCACTCCGTTCGCCGACTTTAGGTGATCTCGTAATCTCTTCAAACAGCAATTACTGATCCAAGTTCCATCGAATATTATATTCACTGCTTCATCACATTGTAAGATGAAATAATACAATTCGAGAACCCTTTTTCTCCATAAGGTAATTAGTTCAAAGCACTTACTGTTTGAATAAATCAAATGGTTATGTAGTGCTAGTCGATTAGTAGTAATAATCAAAATATTTGACTTAGTCATGAAGAATAGCTATTTGTTTGTTAAAACGAATATTTCTTTAAACCCACTTGAAAAAAGTTTTCATAAGAGTTCCTTCAATCTGTTTACCTACTGTTAACATATTAACAGTTTCTGATGTAACTGTTACTCAAGGACAACTTCGGTGTTGAGAGCTTACATTAATTTACTGGGGTCTTGAATACAGATCCTGGTGATACAGTTATATTTTAGTTTTTCAAAATCGTAACAAAGCTGTCTGTTATTTTGTTTGCATAAAAATTCAAATGTTCATGGTGTCATCTTCAAACATCACTCGTGTTTTCAGATAGTACTAGGACTAAACCCATGATGTGTAACGTTAATACGTAGCGTAAAATTTAAACTTTAATGTAATTTCCACATCATGATAGATTCATTTCGGTTGATTGAAATTGTCCGTAGAATAATCATTTGTTTTTTTTAAGAAAAAATTCACTTTTATCATCAGGACTTCAAATAAAAACACACTGTTTTAATTTCCATACAAATCTTCAGCTGAAACATTCATTCACTTAGAAAATCTGTATTTTTTTATTGTTTTTCATTCTTTTTTACAGATTTTTTAAGGCTGGTTGGAAAAAAGCCAAAGGATGGACTATAAATCAAGTTTATAAGATGTTACCTTCCAGTACTCGATACAGGTAAAATTAGATTGGGTCGTTTTTTAACTTCATAATACATAGTAAAATAAAATTTATCTTTCATTATCACTAATCGTCTGTCTCATATTTCGTGATCATTTCCAATATTGATGTAAAAACGAATAACATTTGAATCTAAACATTTTATATGAGGTATCAAAATTTTTGAATCAGACCTTCACTTCATGAATATGTGTATAATTTGAGTTGAAAAAACTCCGCCTGTAGCTCTTCTAGAGTTACTGCCGGTCCCAAGCTCGGGTAAAGGAGGAGGGTTGGGCATGGGGTTAGCGTCCCCATCCCGTAGAAAACTAACTCGCTAAAAAAACGCTTACCAGAAAAAATAATTCAAACCATTTTAACTCTGCCCTGAGAGTTAGAAGGTCTTCATTTAGAAGAATTATGACGCTTCATGGTGAAAGCCGAGTTCCTTCGGAAGCCACGAGGCCGATGCCCCTTCTAACAACCAGAGCAAAAATTTTTATAGGTACATGGAACGTCCGAACAATGTGGGAAACCGGGAAGACTAGTCAAATAGCAATGGAAATGAGGAGATACAACTTAGCAGTACTGGGGATCAGCGAAACTCACTGGACCCAAGCTGGACAGAAAAGACTAGCTACGGGAGAGATGCTGCTATACTCCGGTCACGAAGAGGAAAATGCTCCACACACTCAGGGAGTTGCTCTAATGCTGTCCAAAGTAGCACGAAATGCACTTGTAGGATGGGAATCCCACGGATCCAGAATCATCAAAGCATCATTCAAAACAAAGAAGGAGGGGATCTTAATGAATATTATCCAATGTTATGCACCCACCAATGATAGCAACGACGACATTAAAGATCAGTTCTACGAGCGGCTGCAGTCAGTCATTGAGAAATGCCCAAGAAAGGACCTCACCATTCTAATGGGAGATCTAAATGCCAAAGTCGGAATAGACAACATCGGATATGAAGATATTATGGGGCAACATGGACTGGGAGAGAGAAACGAAAATGGAGGAAGATTTGCAAATCTATGTGCATTCAACAAATTGGTCATAGGCGGCACGATATTTCCACACAAACGTATACACAAGGCTACATGGATCTCACCGGACCACACTACAGAGAACCAGATAGACCATATTTGCATCAACAAAAAATTCCGAAGGACAATGGAAGATGTGAGAACCAGGAGAGGAGCTGACGTAGCTTCAGATCACCACCTAGTTGTAGCCAATTTGAAACTGAAGCTAAAAAAGAACTGGACAAGTGGACAAACAGCAATACAAAGGTTCAATACAGCCTTCCTTCGAGATACTGTCAAACTCAATGAATTCAAGATAGCTCTCAACAACAGGTTCCAAGCCTTACAAGATCTACTGAAAGAAGAAGAAACTACTATGGAGGACAACTGGAAAAGCATCAAGGAAGCATTAACTTCAACGTGTCAAGAGGTTCTCGGTCTAAAGAAATACCATCATAAGGAATGGATCTCTACAGAAACACTGGACAAGATCAAAGAAAGGAAGAACAAGAAGGCAGCAATAAACAACAGCCGAACACGAGCAGAGAAAGTCCAAGCACAAGCTGAATACATAGAAGCAAACAAGCAAGTGAAGAGGAGCATTAGAGCTGACAAGAAGAAATACGTGGAAGAATTAGCAACGACGGCAGAAAAAGCTGCTAGAGAAGGAAATATGAGACAACTTTACGATACAACGAAGAAACTAGCAGGGAAATACAATAAACCAGAGAGGCCGGTCAAAGACAAGGAAGGCAAGCCAATCACTGAAATTCAACAACAGCGTAACAGATGGGTAGAATACTTTGAGGAACTCCTGAATAGGCCGGCTCCTATGAATCCACCGAACATCGAAGCAGCACACACAGATCTTCCTATAGATGTCAACCCACCAACGACGGAAGAAATTAGAGCGGCCGTCAAACAAATCAAGAACGGGAAAGCAGCAGGACCCGACAACATACCAGCTGAAGCACTGAAATCAGACGTCGAAGTAACCACAAGCATGCTTTACCCTCTATTCAAAAAGATTTGGGAGGAGGAACAAGTGCCAATGGACTGGAAAGAAGGGCACCTCGTCAAGATTCCAAAGAAAGGAGATCTGAGCAAATGTGAAAACTACAGAGGCATAACACTACTGTCAATACCAGGAAATGTTTTCAACAGAGTTTTGCTGAACCGGATGAAGGATGCAGTAGACGCTCAACTTCGAGATCAACAAGCTGGATTCCGTAAGGATCGGTCGTGCACAGACCAAATTGCAACACTACGGATCATCGTCGAACAATCGGTTGAGTGGAACTCGTCACTATACATCAACTTCATTGATTATGAAAAGGCATTTGACAGTGTAGATAGGAGGACATTATGGAAACTTCTTCGACACTACGGAATTCCTGAGAAGATTGTCAATATTATCCGGAACTCATACGACGGACTACAGTGCAAGGTCGTGCATGGAGGACAGCTGACAGATGCATTCCAAGTAAGGACCGGGGTCAGACAAGGCTGTTTACTCTCTCCCTTTCTCTTTATTCTGGTGGTCGACTGGATTATGAAGACCTCGACATCTGAAGGAAAACACGGAATACAATGGACAGCTCAGAACCAATTAGACGATCTGGACTTCGCAGATGACCTAGCTCTTATATCACGTACACACGAACAGATGCAGATGAAGACAGCCAGTGTAGCAGCAGTCTCTGCATCAGTAGGCCTCAGTATACACAAAGGGAAAACGAAGGTCCTCAAATTCAAAGCGGAAAACAGCAATCCAATCACTCTTGATGGCGAAACTCTGGAAGATGTAGAATCCTTCACATACTTGGGAAGCATCGATGAACAAGGAGGATCCGATGCAGACGTAAAGGCGAGGATTGGCAAAGCAAGAGTCGCATTCCTACAATTGAAGAACATATGGAACTCAAAACAACTTTCAACCAATATCAAAGTGAGAATCTTCAATACGAACGTCAAGGCAGTTCTACTGTATGGAGCTGAAACTTGGAGAACTACAACAACCACAATCAAGAAAGTACAAGTATTTATAAATAGCTGTCTACGCAAGATACTCAACATCCATTGGCCAGATACCATCAGCAATAGCCTTCTGTGGGAGAAAGCTTCCAGCTGAAGAGGAAATTAGGAGAAGACGATGGAAATGGATAGGACATACATTACGCAAATCGTCAAACTGTATCACGAGACAAGCCCTAACTTGGAATCCTGAAGGGAAGCGGAAAAGAGGAAGGCCAAAGAACACATTACGTCGGATAATAGAAGCAGATATGAAAAGGATGAATTACAACTGGAAGGAGCTGGAAAGGATTGCCCAGGACAGGGTTGGATGGAGAATGCTGGTGAGCGGCCTATGCTCCTTCACGAGGAGTAACAGGCGTAAGTAAGTAAGTAAGTTGAGTTGAAAGAAATATAACGTGAGTTTACCTGAAGTAAGTGAGGATTTGCACTTGAAATGATATACCAGTAGATAAAATCATAACGTGTTATATATCCGTTTTTCTAAACTTGTAACTATGTAAAAGTAAATCCGATCAAGTAGAAGTCTTTTAAAAAAATCTATTGATAAATGAAGTTTGAACGCATCAAATGAACATAAATGTAAATACTATCCCAAATGTGAGATGACGATACAAAGTTTTTTGTGTTATTGTTTTTAAGATTCTATCAAAACTCTGATGGATTATCAGGATGTAAAAGTAATTATGAGAAATATTTGTGTTTAAATAACAACATTGACCAGTGAATTTATATACAATCTATACAATATTTTAATATGTTAATTAGTCAGAGTTTATCTAATCTTTGAAAGAGCTTGAAGCTTATTTTTTAGCCTCGCGATGAAAAATTTCCGGGTAAATTTGATTCTACCACACAAATTATTCATCCAAAGGGATCAACTGCTGATTAGTCTTATCCTTATGAGAATTAAGATTTAATTATTTAACTTTGATTTCTTAAATCTCACTTTACCTATTTGGACATGCATTTATAAGGTGTAGCTTTCATATGAGTTCGTTATTGCTTGTATTTTTATTTTAGAGTAGAACATTTGGAACTATTGGATGACCTTGAGGTGACAATGCAGTTGTTTGATCATTATTGTATTCTCCTGGCAACTAATGATGAAATAATCTGCCCAGATGAACAGTTGAAAGAATCATTAGCCACTATTGAGTAGTCATCTTCGTATATCAAATATGTGATTCATTACGAAAGTATATAATGTACTGCATTTTTCCTATTTCGATTTCCTTTTATTTTTATCAAGTATTTGTATAATTCATCGTATAACTTTATTAGTTCCTACTTTGTGGTGTATATTAATGCCGTAAATGTAGACAACAAAAGGATCCACGTTAAAATATATTTGTATAGATGTTTGCGTTGATTGTTTTTCTACCAGCGCCGAAGTGCTAACTACATCCCTAAAATTCGAAAATAATGATCATTGAATTCAGTCTTTGTAAGTGAATGGTATCGCGCTCACCGTAATAACTGGAGATTTTAGTCCCGATTCAATGTATAGCCGTCGATTATCTGCTGAAGAACCTCAGACCAGGACAAAATATTTGCCTGTAGCTGATATCAGATTGCAATGTGAACTATCTTCAGACACATCTTTTTAAAGGTTATACTAATCTCAGCACTTGATGTAATTCAACAATACTCACGTCTGTTAAATAGGAGAATAACTTGATACAGATTTAACTATCCGATATCATCACTTAATAATAACTAATTACTTGTTTCCAATAGTGTCATCAACAGTAAACCGACGTTTTCATATATACATGTACATTTTCTGGTGTCATATAAATGCTATTTCGTTGGTAAAATCATTCATGTATTAAAAGGATTTGACTGATTGGTAGTTTTATCAGATAGATTTGCTTGGAGTTCGGGTTCGCATAATTTTCGTAAAAAAATCTTTATAAAGTATTGGTAAACCAAATCTAGCCAGCTAAATGCAGTTAAGATAGTTTACAAGCCCAAGTTATTTGCTTTCTGCACTTGTCTATGATTGTAAAGAAACTCATCCTCATAGAATGATTCGAACCCTCATTGTTTATTCCTATAATAAATAAGATTTGTCCAGTACTAAGAGTTAGACAGTTTACTATTACTACTCAGGAATCAGTTAGTCTCCCTTATTGTTTCAGGCATATAGTTAACATGTCAGTACAACTTTTGTCTCGATCCCTAAGTTAGTACATTTTAATTTGGTTCCAAGTATATTTGATTCAACCATTAACATAGCGCATACAGTTGACTATGTTGATTAAAAACTCGAAATGTTCACTTGTACTCTATTGATGAAGCTATTACTTTCCTGATCTATAGATAAAACCAACCTGTGTTGTGAGTGGATCACTTGGGCACCTTGTAATATATATTACGTGGATTAGTTATCACTTTGTAAACCAAACTATCTCAAGAGCCTTTCACATTCAGAATATCTTCTTAGTTAGTAGCCGCAAACTGATTATCTTCATAATTTGCTCTCTATAACGCAATTAAGTGACATTCCTTGTTTTCATGATACTACTTTATTTGAGATACAACGATCTTCCGTCAGAGAAACAATCGTCTTTGTTAATCAGAAGTCATTAGTTGTCGTCGATCTACAAACTAATTTTTTAAAAAGTATAATCGTGATCAGCTAATTTTGATTTCCCTTCAAATTGATGTTTACAATTTATCTGTATCTTAAAGTTTTTTAAGGTTTCGTAATGTAGCCAGGTATTGCTTTAGTTAATCTCAAAGCTGGATTGCTTATCCGTTATCCTAGTTAAATTAATGACTTGAATAATTTCTCGATTTATAACTATCACGTAAACAGATCAAAATATTCATGACTGTGAACTTTCATAAGTGTTCATTTTTCTACTTTCCATTAATTCCCACTTATAGAGTTCTATAATTCTCTAATTAACAAGCCATGATATATACCGAATTGACTTATCCTCGGCATGTATTCTTGATTGAATAAGTAAAGTTTATCTAACTGATTGGAATCTCTTCCTAATATACTCACACATTCTTATATATTCTGTCTGTTATCGTCTATTATTTAAATTGATAATCTATTAAGATAATCAATAAATCGCTGTAAATATATTGTAAGACATTCAAAGTATGATTTATACTTAACTTATTTGTCAAATGCTAAACTGTTCCTGGTTCATACTAATTTGTCTTTTAATTAGTTATGTCCTTGCTAGTAGAAATTTAAAATATAGATGGGGTCAGTGGTCTTCGACACCCTTAACTTGTTCCGTTACTTGTGGTAATGGAGTAAGATGTCGAGTTCGAAGTTGTCTTGATGGATATGGTAATGTACAGTCATCAACAGTGATGTGTGAAAGTTCAAATCCATATGAATCTCAAGCTAAAGAATGTATACCATGTTTTGTCAATACACGTTGCCCACGTATTCCAGGTTGGGGAACATGGAGTTCATGGTCATCATGTCTTCCTACAGGTGGGCAAAACATTAATGGGCAAGGATGTCATACAGGAAGTAGGACACGTTACCGATTTTGTAACAATCCTCCTCCAGAACCATATGGGTTCAATTGTTCTGGGATTAGCCATCAGACTACAGAATGTGATCATAATTGTGTAGATGAGGATTTTAGTAGCCTTGATGATATTGCTGACAAAATAACTTTCCAGGTTGCAAAAGATCAACTTAACTTGAATGCATATCAAAATATTCTACGAATGCATGTTAAGCAAAGTGCTCGAATGGACTGTGTAACACCAGCTTACAACCTTGCCAAAAAATTAACTTCTCGAGGAATTTTCGGTCTAACCTCTCGATTATTTAAAGAGCATACTTTGACTATAAAATGGCTTAAAAATGGAAGATCGATAAATCCAACCGATTCTGGCTCAGGATCTATATCTGGCCGATTTTACAGAACTAAAAAGCCTAAGAATAATCAAAATAGACTGTTTGATGAAGAAATGAAATGGAATTTACTTCCAGAGATATCTTCATTTTACATGGAGGATACATATTTAGTCTTTCCAAGTATAGATCACTATGATCAAGGTTTTTATACCTGCCAAATGACATTTGGGAATCACAAGTGGAATACAATCTTTTATACCTTGATTGTTACTGGTGTAAAATATGTTGCACTAGAAGGTAATCCGTTTTATCTTTATTCTAATCTAGGATATTTTAATGCATTGGATAATACAGCTGTTTGGATGGAATCAGCTCAAATAGTATGGAAGTTGAATGGTTATGAATATTCACGTAACTTAGCTTTACGATTAAATCGACGCATTCAATTAATTCCTTATTTAAATTTAACACATCATGGAACATGGAAATGCTTTTTATTTATTCAAACGTATCGTTTACCAAGTCAAGCCGATAATCCACGGACATCTATTAATAGGATATATTTAATTAATGAGTTTTATTTAAAAATTTATCCAATGCAACCTAGTTTATGGCAATCAATTGAATATCCAATCACAACTAGAGCATTGAAACAAACAACTGTGATTTTACTAACGATTGGTTTGCTTCTGACTCTAATTATATTATTAAATATATGGGCTGCTAGACGTTGGATAAAACGAACACTAACAATTGATCAACAAAAGGCTATTATACAAGAATTGTTAGATAATGAATGTAGATTATTATTGGCCTGTAGAAAACGGGCTAGTATAAATAAGAACAGATTACTACCACTAATTTTACAAGAAGACCAACGTTTACAGAAAGCTAGTAGAGCTTTAGGTTTAGATAATGAACAACAACAAATCGAAACAAATTAGAACTCCATATAAAATGATCAGATTAATAGACCTCAGTTCACTGATACGTTGAGTGATGTCAGGAGAAATCCACTGTTATCAGTAATGTCTGGAAAAAGATATAGTGTGAAGAAATCACCTTTAGAAAAACATTTTAATAATTTCGCGTTCTTTCTTTGTGCTGCCACTCAATAGTCGTTTGTTTAAGTTGTTATGCCAGTTACATAATCTCATTCAAATTGTAGATTTATAATGATAACATTTTTGATAATTGTCTAATAGTATCACAGGTACAATTAGATTTCAGATAATTAAACTTTGTTGAATTCAATCCATAAATAGGATTATAAATGATATTTTCAAAGATCCAGTAATTTTTTAACTCTACAGTTCCTGATCATTGAAACTGAAGATAAAGTACATGAAATATTTGGAAATTAAATAAAAATCTACTCTCAATTCTTATGACAATTGAATATTTATTCACCCACGAAAACCAATAATTAAAGTAAAAATAGTTGAACATAAATTTATTTTTAATAGATCTCTTACTTTCGAATGTTTATTTAATATTCATTATTTCGATATCGCTATTGTTCAATATTAATTTGACATTGACAAAATACTCAAATAAATTCGAAATAAAGTTTAGAATATGAAAAAAGTAGTTTTCAAAATTCAGTAATAAATCTTTAATTATATTCAATTTTTATGAACATACTTATTAGACCATTGTAAGTTCTGAAATCTATCACTATATAAAAAGGAATAATCATTCGTTTACAATTTCTGTGATGTGTTAAAGAATAGACAAAAGATAATCTTTTATTCCAATGAAAGGTATCACTTAAAATTGATTGAACATTAAAATTATGAATCAAATAAATGCAGATTGGAGTGATTGAATTTATTATGATGGATGAGATATTTTCTATAATAATAAATAGTATTATCATAACTTAATTCAAAAAACCGATATGATTTTATTAAAGCAAAGAATTTAAAAAATTCCCGTATTGTAAATTTAAAACAATATATATAAGCGAACATTATTCATCAGACTTTACTCTAATATACAGTGATATTTATATGCATTGACTCATGATCTCAACTATTGAAATGACTACAATCTCCACAAAACCCTTCTGATACTAATTGACATATGCTCATTAGTGATTGACTTCAAGATGTATGTCCTGGAGTTCTAGTGAGAAGCAGTGACCAGTGGGGTACAACTGGGCCAGTTGCGGAAACCACCAGGGAAATTTGTTACTCTACCTTTTAATCTGAATTTTCAAATCGTAATCAGACGATTGTTAAAGAACTGTAAAAACATGATGCGAACAGTAAGTTAATTCATTTTCATACAAAATTGAATTCCTAATACACCACATAAAA